TATTAACAAATCAATGTAATATATATATTTAACAAAATAGTTAATTAAATGATGAAAGAATAAAATGAAATTTCAATAAGATGAGTATATTAATCGTAAGTAAATCACAAGTAACATCAAGCGATTCTTTCATCAAACTTTCTTATCTTATACGTATAATTCGTATCTTAATGAAGAAAATGTAAATACTTCTGTATAAACTTGATTATCTAAGAAATTCGCGGGAAATGAAACCACAGTAATGAAGTCATAGATGGGGAAATAATCAAAGATAAGTATATTCATATGCGTAGACACACACACTATGATTTATAATTTCGTAATGGTTTTTATCCATTCACGATAGTAGGATATTTTTGCGTAAATTCCGGAAACCTTGCCACAATTATAACCGAAAGATACGATGCCATAAATTGTATGAGCATCAGCCAATGGACCGCCGGAATCTCCGTAACATGAATCCTTGCCGCGTCTACCGTAACAGAGATGACGATCCCTTCTAACAAGTAATTTATACAATGGTACTGAGTTGACACAGGCTTTAAATGGAACGTAAGGAATGTTAACAGTCATCAGGGTAGGATGAGAGTTACTCTGAAAAAAATATAAAAACAAAACAACAAAATATTTCTTTCCTATGATTAATAAAGTATTTAATTAATTTCAAAATTTTTTTCTTTTTTTTCTTTTATTTTTGTTCATGGTTTTTTTTTTCATTTACGTTCAATGATGTATATCCCCAGCCAGAAGCATAAAGTCTACGTGGTTTTTTATCGTCATTCGGTAAATTAATCGGTCGAGTTGTCAAAGAGAATCGAAAGGGCGGTGACACTTTGAAAAGGGCGATATCGTGATAATAGATTTTCGTAGACCAGAATGGATAGGTTGTCTCATCGTAAGTATAAATATTTTTTACATTGTGTAACGTTCCACCGTGATCGGTATAATTTGTGCCCGCACGTACGTGGTAATTATTTTGATCTAAAGAATTACTGATAATACACATTTTAATTAAATATCTGTGTATAATGCATTCTATAAAATATAAGATAAGATATAACGTTATTATTACAAACAATGAAGAGCAGTAATGACCCATTTTTTCGATAGTATACTTGCTCCGCATTGAAAATTATTTAATTCGTCGTGTAGAGATACCTGAAAATTAATTTATATCAATTTTGGAAAAATACGAATATTTTCTTTATCAATTTGGAAAAATATTATAATAATGACAAACCATAAATGGACGCGATTTGATGCTAATACGAAGTCCTCCAATAATTCTGTGTTTAACATTATGCATTTCTCGTTCGTTATATACTGTACGAGAATCTAAGAATAGAAATAAGATTTGTTATTGGAATATTTTGTTAATATATTATAAGTTATATGTAACAGAGACATATGTATTTTGTGTACTCACGTATTAAGCAAATAAAAACGACGGTCCAAAACATTTTTTTAAAATACCTGTTGAGAGGTAGAACACTCGCTTATTATTTGTAATATTGGATGCGTCATTCTTCATAAATGTCATTGGAATTATATTTCATTAATTTATTTTTTTCTTTTTTTCTTTTTTTATCGTTAAACTTAAAATTTATAGACTATCGTAAATTATGAATTTATTAGAAGATATTATTATTTATTATTGATTTAAATGCGAACTGTGTAGATTATTTAATTTTACAATTTTATGCAACAGGATGAAATTAATAGCTTACAATTAGAATATCTTTTTTCAGATATACTAGATAAAAATTGTTTTACAGTGTAAAGATTATCCTGAATCTTATATAACTCTAATTTCATAGATAAATGTTATATGAATTGTTAGATAAAGTTAATATTTCTTTTTTTCTATCATAAGATTTTATTTAGACATATTTTATATATATATGTGCATATAGAATAATTTTATATTTTATTTATACGTTAATTATAATTTAATCTTGATAATAATACAAGCTCTCATATTTATTCCTCATCTTCGAACTTAAGAATCATTTCTCGAATTATTCCCATCTGATAAGACATTTCTTCATTTTGTGTTACATCGGATCTATTATATCGCGAATCGTCTTCGAAGATAAGGGATCTACGTTTACGTTTTTGTAACCATTCGTCTCTTATTTCGGATGAATTCGTATTCTCTTTATTAGTATTCCCGAGAGAAAACAAGGCAGAAACGAAACCGATAGTTTCCAAGAACATAGTCGTTAGCAATAAATTATTCGCGAGATTAACCAGGATGCTTTTCTCGTACGCTGTGCGGACGTTTACACGATTAATCGAACGAATTAACTTTTCGAAAGATTTATCAGCAGCTTCTTTCAATTCTGTAACAATCGACGAATCAAACTATTTACTACGATCGATTATTATTTTATAGATTTTATTGTACTATTAATAGTTGACAAAAATTATTTTCCTTTCTTTTTTTTTTTCAATTATTACCTTCTTTCGTCGTAGTCAAAGCAGTTGTTTCTTCTGTTTTACTGACATCTTCTTCGTAAGAATTAAATTCAGATAATTCGTAAGAAATATCTTTCGATTCGATAGAAAACGGAGGCTGTGACGTAGTAGTCAAAATCGTCTCATTTTTCTTTTCCTCTTCGTAATCGCAGAATAAAAAAAGCTTGGACATCCAATCGGAAATGCAACTCAAAATTCTAAGATGACCCTGCCAATTTTCGTTCATCGCCATTTTTATTCCATTAACAATGATTTTTTCAAACTCAATCGTTGTACGATGAATCTTATCGATTGCATCGAATATTTTTAAAAGTAAACCTCTTTTATATAATCCCAAAGATTTAGACACTTTTTTGTATCTAGAAACAGACGTGATATTAACTTTAAAATTCATTTAATTTAGTTAATATTGGATGAATAATCAAACGATTAATATATGTAAATGATTACAATTTGGAAATTAAAACGATTAACAACACTTTTAGAATTTGTTTAAATTTAATTGATCAAAGTATTTTAACTATTTCTATTGAAAATAATAAGGCTTGAAACGACTAAATGACAAATATTTTTATGATAATAGTACGGAAATAATTTGATCTATTTTCCATATTATTTATTTTGTGAAATTAATCGATTTTTGTTACACGTATATACATACTTTGCAGCTGCTATTTTATTATTTGAAGAAAATTTTGATAATTTGTTAACTTTCTTGACTCCATCTTGATAAATCGAAAGATAATAATATGTTTCATCAATGAGTTGTCTACCCCAAGGTGTTTTAGAAAGAACATTGCCTAAATCATTTGCAACTCGATACAATGGTGATCTTTTTGTTAATTTGTGTCCTAGTATACTCTCGTAAATATATTTTATTCGACGATTAGGATTTATAAATATTCTTTCATTCATTTTACACTTGACATTTGCATTTCCATCGTCATCGTATTCGGCTATGCAATTACTGAGATTTTGAATTCCACTCAACCAACGATTTTTCAAAAAATTTTTATGATTATCGATCTCGTATTTTGACATCATTCTAGGATTACGTTTCCGAACAAATAGACACTCGCGAAGATGTTCGAATTCCGCGATACAATGATGACTTAAGTGAGTAGAATTATCGGAAGTAATATTACAAAAGAAAATGTGCAGTTGACCAAGTGGTGAATTTGGACCATTCAATGAACCGTTCTTTAATGCAACGTCCAAACGTGATCCAAGAATTTTCAGAGTATGTTTAGGTGAATTCTTTGCCAAGTTCGCAAGTGCTTCACTGAGAATAGAGATCGTTCGACTTTTCAATATTTTCGATTTCGAACATTCGCATAATCGATCACCGAATTCCGATATGACATCGATAGTTCCTAAAAATTGAGGATTTTCTCTTGCATATGACACCTGTTCACATATTTAAAAGAATCGTAAACTAGATACATAACCAATTATTTAACATCAGAAAAAAAGGTTGCTTATCAAAGTGAACTCACTTTGTTTTTTAGTAAAATAATATTGTATCTACGTAGATAAGGATCAATGGAGGATGACACTTCTTCTGTGATCCCTCCTAAATCTTGCAGTAATAATGAACCTCGAAGTAAAACTTCCGAGAGCCAATCGTTTGATTTTATATTATTAATATCCAAATTTCTTTCGTATCGATTAACGGTTGACGTAGATCCAAAGGATTTAGCAAAATTTATTAAATTTCTTCGTACCACCTGACTGATTTCGCTAATCGTTCGTTCAAGGCCATTTCTATTATTAGAAGTTCTTCGTAAAATTATTGGCGTTGATATTGGTCCAACTAACTTAGTTAAAAAATGTTCAATAGCTCGTTCAGCCGGATCCAAATGTTTCGAGCTTATGAACGTATCTAATGAATTTTTCGTCCATGATTTCAAATTGCGATCATTTTTTCTCGAAAAAATTGTCAACGTTAAACTACCTACAAATAAAATATACATCGATGATGTTTAATTATATATTATTGTTAAATAGAAAAATTTGAATTATATTTAAATGATCTTACCAAGACATAAAAATAAAAGAATTCCTTTGGAACACATGTTTGTAAAACTGATCTCTTCAAAAATATTCTTTCATCTTTTATAGCTTTTCTACTCGGCGGATTTGAAAGATTTTCGATAAACACGTTTGAAATATTACAAATGAATGTCACTCTTTTAATTTTACTACTACCTAATCATATTGAAATTTCGAAGTTTTTCTTATCAGAGAACGAATATTATTTATTTATATTCTTATTATTTTTAATTATATGCATTTTCTATAGATTTATATAGATATTAATAATAATAATATATAATAATAGTAACAAATAATATTATATATGCCATCATTGGCTTTAAATAGGATCTAGTCATGTATAGATAATTTTCATTGAGAAAGTTCTATTACAATCGGTGACTATAACCGCCATCTAACGGGTGTACGTGAAATTAGTACTCTGCGTGAAATTCTCTTGATCATCTGCAGAGTGTAACGACATTATACCTTTGACGTGTTCGTTATATCGGCGCAACTGTCAGCCGGCACCTTGCACCGCACATTTTCTTATATAAAATCGATAAACTTGTACGTACAGTTCTTCCCAGTGTTACCGCTATTCAAGACAAATCTTACCACCTGCGTTGGTCTTAAGAAAAATCCTAGGTGTGTCTCGCGTTTTTGTTTAACTACGAAGCACATAACGGGTAATACGTTATAAGAAAGTAATAAAAAAAGAAAAAAAAAGAAAAAGAAAAACGCAATTTTGACGTGTGTATGCTATGTGCGTACGAAAAAAAACTAATAAAAGAAATAAAAGTAAAAGCTATCTAACGGAATAATTAATGTCAATGTGAATCTCCATCGTTTTTAATAAAACATTCATTTCGATTAATTGATTATTATCCGTGACTGAGATCTAATCGATCAATTTATCCAAGATGGATGAAGATGCCATGTGGAAAAATTTCTATCATAAAATTGTTGAAGAAAAAGAGACGAAAGAGAAGGAACAGAAGGAACGCACGGATCATGAATTAAGGTAACGAGTTGATTAATCAACATTAATTTGTGGCAAAAAGGTTAAATGTAGATTTCGATTAAAACAAAAAAAAAAAAAAGAAAAGAATTAATCTTTCTAATAGAATCTAAAGAGAACAGGTACATTAATTATGCATATAGATAAGTGGCCTAATCGATAAGAAAATCTATAAGCTATTAAATATATATATATTATATTATATAGAGATATTCAATTTAAAACGATCGATAGTAATTTTAAAAAATATTTCGTTTTTTTTTTTTAACATTCGAACAAAAAAGTAATACATGAAATATTAACAAAATGTAATAACAGATCAAATTAAATCTAATTATTAATCGTGTACACATTTTTTTGAAAGTGTTTACGATGCAACCATGTCTGTTACATTGCTGTTGTCAGGATCTATTTATAAAGTTGAGAGTAAGCAAGGAGGATACTTTACCGTCGCATTTTCGAAACACATCTGCATAGTAGAGTAGTCTCCTAAATACATCTTCTTCCCCCTCCCCCTTCCTCTTACCCCTTCTCTCTTTCTCTTTGTTTTTCTCTTTTTTATCTCTGTCTCTTTTTCTCTCTGATCCAAGAGAATGTTCAAGGTCGTTCCTAACATTTCATGATTCATCACTGGCAGACTTGCTTATTACCTAACGAGCTCTCTTTTTTTGTAGAATTTAATGATTAAACGTTGAAACATCATTCGTGAATAATATTAAAATTATTTACGTCTGGTATAGAATAATAATTTCTTTAAATAAGTTTAATTCGATAAGAAAAATAATATCTAATCTTTTTGTTCTTATATTAGTTTCACTTGACATCTTATACCTTGAAAATGTGTTGCATAAACAGTATTGTCTAAACAGTAAATGTTTTGCATTCTGTCTCTCCTTAAACGGTGACGAACTATCAGGATACGTGCTTGTCTTACGAATAATTTTCTTATGAGTTGTTAAGATCTTATAATATATATACATATATATATATATATTATTTATATGTACGAAGGATTTTTCTTTCCTTTGACTTATATTCAGACTACTTCAATATCATTCAATTTACGATCGTAATAATAAATCATCGTTGGTGGGTGTAACAAAATTACCCAAATGTAGGGAAGTCCGAATTGAAATTATTTCATTGCTGTTGGCGTTAATATGAAAATTAATGAATAATTCAAAAATCCGATAAGTTGTATTCCTTTATTGCCATAAGCATAAGCCGTCTCGTGGAATCGATTTTAAGTGATGAAAATTATTACTCTGTTTCATGCTTGCGTTAATGATCCAATAGTAGAATTTCCAAGAGAGAGAGAGAGAGAGAGAGAGAGAGAGAGAGAGAGAGAGAGAGATAAAGAAATAAAGCAAGTGTTTCTATAGTACATAAGTACTATAGTACACTATTACTATAAGTACATATCATTTTCGAGATAAACTATCTAATTTTATTCATTGTTCGTATTTGATCTTTAAAAGTACGGCCTACGCCACATTATGTTTCTACAGGAAATTCCTGATTTCATCATCGATGTCATTGACTTTAGGTGAATGGACAGAAAAATACTTGTAATTATGAAAATGAATACTTCATTGCATACGTGATGCATATGTATATATTTATATATCAATCGTAAAAATGTCAAAGTATTTGTAAAAAAGAAAAGAACTTATATGAAAATACAATTTTTATTGTTAAAAGTAGCCTTTTCTCGTGCTATGAATCATTCGTCGTTTTTCTAAACTGTAAAAAAAAACAAAAATAGAAAAATAAGTATCAACAGGATTAGCATCGACGTAAGAGGATTGAATTTTTCGATTTAGTTTTATTTTATCAAAGTAAAGTTCGAGAGTATTTATAGTTTCAAGTCTCTAAGCTAACAAGTGTATAAAGAAAGGCGCGTCGAAAGTTAATTCTTGATGGATCTAAAAGAACGTTTAGAAAATCTAGGAAATACTTGTTTTTTGTATTTTTTTGTTGTTAAGGAATATAAAGGAAAGGAAAGATGCATATATGCATGTATATCGTTTTATTGAAGTTTGTTAAATGAATCACACACAAAGATGATCTCGTAAACTATTCGCGTAAGATTACACATTAGGTATACATTGTAAATCAATTTCTACTTATCTTATCGGTATTAAATGTTTTTTTTAAATTATTCAAATTTTATCTGATTATATCAACGAAAATGTATATACGTGAAACATTTAATATGGAAAATCCATTTATAAGAGTAAAACTCAATGATTTGCGTGATTCTAAAAAAAAACTTGTTTTTTAAAATTTGACCTCAGAAATGTAATAGAACTTTTTAGTAGTGCGAGACATATATATATATATATATATATATATATATATGTATGACATATTTACATATATTTATGACATACCTACATGTATATATATATAGGTATACACAACCTCCTACCTATTATTTTCCTTTTACCTGAGTGAATCGTATCTTTAAACAGTTTCTTAGGAGACGCGATCCAGCCTACACGCTTTCTCACGAGCCACACAATATATACATACATACATACATACATACATATATCTATGGCAGAATTCCCCGCGTTATTCGTGTTCTTACGTGATTAACATCTCCCCATGAATGATCGTTACAAGTTAAAAGCGAAGAAACGAAATAATTTCAGCTGATCGTTTTCTCGCGAAAAGTATAGGTCTGTCGGTAAAGCTTCAAGTATCTACTGAAAAAGGAAATACCAGAGTATTCATTGAAAGTTCGTACCAATTTCAAGAAATTATCTTAACGATAATTAACACCTTCAGTTAAAAGGAGATTGCAAAGCCAGCGACTGATAGTTCGTGTTCATTATCGAAAGTGAGTGTATGTCTATAATGGTATTATCAAAGGTGTGAATTGTTGTTTTTATCGATACATTTCTGGAAAATGAAACTTTTATAATTAATCGTATCGATAATAATTCGAGAAATAATAATATTGTTCAATCGTGTTCGTGAAACGTATTACATTAGGAAGTACATATAACGTTGATAGATAAAATTTATTCGTCGTCGAATAGAAAATACGATTGTTTTTTTCCTAAAGGAAGAAAGGACTATACAAAATGGCACATTTCCATAAACTGGACGAGAAACATCCTTATTACGCGATAGCTGCTGTTCGTATGTCGCAAAAGCCAGAAACTAAACCAGTTACTACGGCTAGCATCTATTGGAAATTCGCAGCATTCAACTTTATTTCTAAAAGGTGATTTTCGTATGGTATTACGAATTCATTAATTATTGTTGAATGGCTTATTTAGTAAATGCGTAATTCATGTTTTATTTATCGACGATTTTCAAATATTTCATTTGTTTGTATTGCTTTTATAGACGAACAGACACATCACAAAAGTGCAACGTAGGTACGTGCATTATAAACAACGCACTTGTTTCCGTCGAAATAGCAATTTTGCTTGATTTTTTCTTCTGCAACTCGATTAAATCGTACTTATTGACGTAAATTTTATCGCATTCGAGTTGGAAATAAAAAAAACGAGCATTGATTGCTAACTTTTTGTTTTTTGTTTACAGTATTACTTATTCAATGAATGTGCGATGTATTATATAGTGATTAAAACTGGATTAATTTGGTAGGGGATAGTATTTATTTAGGACAATGTTTGATTACACTAGTTAACAGGTATTTTGCATTTGATGTGTTATGTATCAATTAGTACGTAGTTTTGAGCGTATAATCCGAATCTGTATTTTAAAATGTGTTAGCACATTAGTTTTTTAAGTAATTTAGATTTATATATTTTTTATTATTACATTTTATTAAAAACACTATTGAGTTGTTAATCTGTATTTCTTGTTTGTATTTAATTATATTAATGTTTGCCAGTAGAATTTTTAGTTGCTTGTTATCTATTATATATATTAGATTGAAGAAAAAGAAATCCATTATTTTTCTTCAATCTAATATATCTATTATATTCTATTTATAATAGATTAGTTACTGTGTCTATCTAACAATAAGTACTGTTGACTTCATAGAGAAAAACTGATTTTCCCACTGAATTCAGTACCTAAAAATTAGGAAGGATCATTAAAATCCAAATGAATTATAGAATAAAAGTTGATATTTGTTGATTATTGTTAATTAACTTGGCATTGAATTGTTTAGTTCCAGGAAAATGCGTACGATCTTTTTTTTCTTCTCCTTTTTCGTCATTTTGTCACGTTTTCTTTGAACTCCGACAAAGTAAGAATTTCTCGAATTTTATTCGAGCTGTCAACATGATTAGATCATTCGCTGAATCGCGTAATGAAACGTAAGAAATATTTTGAATTTTTATTGCTGCAGGATACAGGAAATCGATGGCGGCTTCTTCGAAAATCTTGGCACGTTGCTGGTCGAAAAAGTACGTGCCCAAGAAGAAATTGAAGGACCACTTCCAAAAAAGAAAGAAGAAACAGGAGGTGAAGACGAGGATAGTTTCAGCGAGGTGGAAAGCATCGAGGAACCAACTGAAGCTTTATTGGAAACTGACAGTGATCGAGATGAGAAAGAACATGCACATAATTTTTTGATAGATTCCGTTGGCTTAAACGTAAGTCAATTTTACATAATTTTTTTCATACCATTAACAAAATTCGTTATATTTTACTACGTTTAATTATACGGTTAAAATAATAATAATTGGGTGTATATAAAATGAAAATCAGAAATCAAATTAACTTGAAATATATACATGGGGCGTTTGTCAATAAGTTTAATAGTTCATATTGAATTAAATATACTGCCATTTTGTATTTAAATAATGAATATTTTATATTTAAACATATTACGATATAAAGTATTTTTTATATTCAAAATATCGATATTACTTATTGGCTAATAATTTATATAATTATTTTTATGTTATATAAATTTATATAATTATTAAATATTAATAAATTTATCCTATTCTTTATATTAAACCAACTTTATTATAAAATTTAAAACAATATATTATTTTGAACTGAAGTTAAATTTACTCGAAGGAATTTAAATGATCTTTCATGAAAAAAATAAATCAGACTACCACCTATTCGAAGTTAAAACTATACAAATTTTTGTAGCTTTTACATGTGAAATACTCTAAATGCTCGTAAATTTAAAAAAGCCGTAGAAGCTATTCGACATATTTCGGTCACGAGATAGCAAGCTGTTCGTTGGAGAGTTTCTTTTTTTAGATTTGTTTCATTCCCATCGTGAGAACGAAGATCTAATCTCGAATGAAACTAACGGAGCCAAGTGTTATTGAAGATATTAATGAAATCGTTTTAGTTGTATCAGATTAACGTCGATGATCGTTATATCCTTTTCTCACGTCAGCATACTGACGTAGATACATATGAGGAAAATTCTCAAGTGATTCCATAAGGAAGCAAAGTTTAGGTAGCATAGAATATAAGGATTTGTTTGTTACAAGTTAAGTTAGAAAAAAGTTATCAGACTTAAGTGTACCATTATTTCACAATAATATGAATCAGATTTTTCATCAAGGAAAATCTAAGCAAATATTGCATAATTACATGTACTATGCACTAATGTTTGCGTTCATTCGTTTATAATTATTCGATTAGATCGATATCTCGTTGTAAAACTATGTCTTGATATTTTGTATATATGCAGAGAGAATAGTATATAGATATAATAATTTATATTATTCAATCGTTAAAAAAGAAATTTCGAGTAGAAGATATTTTTGTTTCATTTTACGACAATCCATTTAAAAGAAACGATTGATCAATATTTGTATAATAGTGTAATCGAATGATAAATTCATTTCTAGTCGTCGGATCGATAACTCGTCTATTGTTTATACTGCAGTTACCCTCACATGAGTCCTGACGATCGTCCTGATATTGATTTTTCAAAGGTTACATGGTAGCTTCTCGTCGAAGGGTTCACGGAGAAACTACTTTCTCATTGTCGTTCGAACTGTCGTCGTAATAGTTTGTTTTGGTTACGCGAGTGTTAAAGGGTTGCTTGAGTAATGAGTCACAATGGTGTGCAACGTAACATGGAAAGTTAAATGTCCCTGTTTCCGTCAAAAACGAAAAATTAAACGTAAGTTTGAAAAATTGATCAGTAATATTTTGTGACGATATTTTTGTTTAAAATAGTCGGAATTTTTTAAATTTTTCACCGAATAGACAAACATCAATAATCGATAATACGAAAAATGAAAAATTTCAAACTTTTATAGTCTTCTACAACGTTATGCAAAATTTGTATTTTAATTTTTGGTTATAAATATCAATTGTTAATAATTGTTAAATTTTTTTCAGTTATATTTATATATATATATTAAGATAAATTATTAATTATCTGCAATGTTATGATATTTTGTTTGGTGACGGTGTTGCATTTCCAAGTTGTCATTTATTATTTTTTATTCTATATAAATTTCACGGCAAATAAAATGTAACTAATTTATCGTGATTAAATCTTTACAACGATAATAGAAGAAAATCTACAAATACTAACACGCGAGAAATTAACAATCTAACTAACATATAAAAGATATAACATTGCGAATAATTATTGACTTAATCACGTAATTATACTTATATTATATACAACTTTCATAGTATATTATAATTGTATCAAGACACGAAACGAAAAATATGTGTTATAGATGGTTAACAATGAATATAGTAAACGTTACTTAACAAAAGTACTTTCCGTTCTACTTTTAAATCCGACCACTTTTATTACAATCGAGAGATAAAGGAGCAATCAAAGTAGAACGTCCAGAATATTAATTCGAAAAGAAGTCTCAATGTCGAGTTTAAATACATCATTAAAGAAATCAACGTCGTCGTAGTTTCACACGATACTTTCTTTCCCTTTAATTTTCAATTAATTGAGTTTATATCAATGATTTATTCATCAATGATTAATCATTGATATATAAATCGGTCAAAATCTATTTAAAAATACGTACAATAGTATAATTATTACTTTCTACTTTAAGTTGGAATAAATAGCAGAAGAAATAGGGAATCAAAAAATTTGGAGTATTTTCTTTGATAGAGAAAGGTAATACATATCACGTTTGTAACAATGTAATTGTAAAGTATTCTAGTTTAGATAATGACAGCCTTTCCATCTCGATTCTCGCAATTCTATGACCGATAACCACTGAACTCACGTGCACCTACATAAGATTCACATTCTAAGTAAATTGAGGAAAAGTGTGTGAGATAGAAAGAGAAAAAGAGAGAAAAATAGAGTGAGAGAGAGGGGGAGAACAAATTGTAAAGAGCGAAGAAGGGGAAAAGAAATAACAAGAGTTAGGGTAGTATTATCCTGCAAGCTCAATCGGAGCAGTTAAGTTTCATTCGAAACGTAGTTCTTGGTGTTCGTTAATGGCAACTATGACTACGACTACGACGACGACGACGACGATGACCAACAACGACTGTGATCCCAACGATCTATCTATTCCTGGCAGTATTCAGTTTGCCTCCGTCAAGTCCCTGTCTTCTCTTCATTTCGCGAATGTTATCCTGATTATTTTCCTTTTTTCTTGTATTTTTTTTTTAGTCATTGTGTTTGTTAATTAACGTTTCGTCGTTAATAATAAAGTGCGTATTAATTGGATTATCTGAGTTCATGGGTTTTAATATAATTCGCGAGTTTATTTGGAATTGATTAATCGATCAACGGATCATCGATATATAATTTTGTTAAAGTATTAAAAAGAATATTTTAATCTATTTGATATGGGAAATGTTTTTCTTCTTTTTTTCATTGTGTAATTTTTATATATATATTTAATATTTGATTTATAATATATAATTAATGAGTTTAGTTTTTAGAAATCGATCGATAAATCATAGATCATAGATTTGAAGAAAAGTTATTTTGTGTGATAGATAAAATTGTACTGTGAAGGTTCTTTGTTAAGAGAGAAGTGTAATTATTATTTATGATATTTATATATACTCAGTAAGACTCTAGTGTTATTGGAGATTTAATATTCTCGATGGCTTTACAATTACTAATCGTTTTAAAGTAATTAAGTTTTATGATAAGGAGAATTTTATCATTTTAATCGACGAGTTTCTATTTCTCGACTCTTGCCATTTGTTCGCGAGTGAATTTCGTGGAAATGCGTGTGCGGGGATTTATTTAAGATATATATATATAAGTAAACTTCTACTCGGAAAATAAGGTTAAGCAATGTTCTCTGTAAAATAATTTAAAAAATTAGCGAATTTTTAGAAATACCGTTTAAAAAGAAATTAATTTTTTGTTGTCTAGTATTTTGTATCTCATTTTATAAGATCATTCCATTCGCGTTAGGTAAATTCATATTTTAATACAAACAAAAAATTTCACGTGAAAAGAAAAAAAAAAGAAATTAATTATAAAATTTTAGTCAAAGTTTCGAATCCAAAATAGGAGAAAAGAAAAAAAAGAAGGTTAAAATTCTTGAATGAACTTCACCCACATAACGTAGACTCGAAAATAGAACGATGCGTAAAATTGGACCAGGAGAAAATTGCATAATTTTAGGAAAATTGGGCGGCAGCTGAGTAGGAAGGACGGTAGTCTCGCACATCTACATATTGCATGTAGTAATACATCCTCGTGTATACTTCGCATACCGGGTGTTCTATCTCCGTGTATGCCTTGATGGTCAACGAGCTAATTGCCGGTATATCAACTTTCATTGGACACAATTGTATGAACGTACGAACGCATTGTAGTTGCATTTGCCCTATGGGTCAGTTCAAGCGGGATATGGCATACTTTTGTATTCTTTTTATATTTCTTTGTTGATATCATTTCTTCGATTAATATAAGACGCAATAACAACGAATATACACAATTTTTAAAATAAGATTAATCTCCTTAAGTTCTTATATAAATCTGTATATATAAGATATTTCTAAATATGTGGGGGTATAATTTTAATAGTTGTTTCATTATGTTAAAATATATAAGAAAATATACGATAAGACTTTGTTTTTGAATTATAGCTATTTTTGTCTTCCAGTTATTCATATAACTTTACCGATTATTTGCTTCAATTATTTACGATTACATTTTTTATCTCACATTGTCGACGAATTCAAACGACACCTGATATTTTTTAAATCAAAAGTAACCATTTCGAACAGTTTCTATGGTAATCATGTAACAAAACGTATAATACAAAAACGAATATAATTTAGAAACAAAGCAATATCGGATATATGATTATAGAAACTTCTTTTTCCCGTGTTAGAGTACTTAAACATATCCCTGAAGTTATGACCACATATTTTAAAATATCACATGTGTATATATACATATTTATTTCTTTTATTTTTAATACGAATATCCATGCAGTATGAGTGTTTTATTTTTAATTTTAATATTGTGTGATAAGGTACAAGCATGATTTACGAAATAAATAATTTAAAAGGAGAGAATCTTAAAACATAGGAAACTTCATTGTCAGAGTCAATTATACTTGGCAAGTCTGGTCGATTTAACGAGGATGCAACAGACAGCTTCAATGTTGATCTACTAATAGATATATCTTGTTGCTTTTTGTATTATCTCTATAAACGTACGTATACGTAAGTCTTCGTACGTTCTCCTTTTTCGTATAAATCATTTCTTTTCTATTCGTAATTGTTTACGAGTAAAATTCGTTAAGAGATTTTTTTTTTTCTAAAGCAATGGCAAAGAATCAACTATTTGTACTATACCTTACTGCATTCCTATTGGTTCTTCTTTCCATGACGTACGTTAGAAAGCGCTAAAAAAAGAGCACTCGGACATATATTTATATATTTCTTTTGTAAAACGAGTTAGTTGTGTACTTGCCTTTTATTCGTTCGAAGAACATTTTTATTTTCGCGAATTTTATCAACGTATATGCATAATTATTATTTCGCATAATTTATTAGATTCGATGGAAATATTTTTATTCAATTTTAACAACCGTTTTTTACTCTCTTACGAATTATATAATTTCATTATGTACATATAATATTTTAATTACATTTTGTTTAAAAAATCAGTTCCTTCAAATAAAACTGTTATTTTGATGAAGAAAACAAAAAAAAAATACAAGATCATTTGCGTATTATGAGTGGATTTAATTAGATTATCTACTAGTCGTGATTATGTATACGAACGATTGAATAATCATCAGTCTGTTTTATCATTGATAAGAAAAGGTCACGGTGAGAGTTCAATTTTGACGAAATAAAAATGTAAATGTTAGTCGTTCGACGAACGCATATTACGTGCAGTTTTGTTCGAAACTTTAACTTATATGTTAGTCTTTATCGTGCAGTGAATCGTTCGCTATTATAGATCGGTGAAAAAGCTTTCGATCGTGTCACCACAAGTGTTCAACTGTAGTCAATCTTTCTTCGTCTGTGCGAGAACTCTTTATTCATTATCCGTACGTCTTTGTCTCGGTTAACGTATGATAAAGAAGTTCTTTGTCCCTGGTCGAGAACAAGCTCGTTGTATAATATAATACAATAAACAAGTAAAGAAAGATTCTCAAGTTCGACACTGTATCTGTGCTTTACCGATTTTTTGAAATGAGAATAATTAAGTGGTACATGATAGCATGGTCATTGTTCTTGGCTAATATGTGATTTTTTGTGGGTCATTGTCGCCTTGTCCTAAATTCTTCTTATTTTCTAAAATTGATCTGTCTTCTACAGCTTCATCGCGTTAAACAAATGCCAAATGGCAATTCTAATCTCTTAAGGCCACCAGTCGTAAATGATCTATAAATAAGTACTGGTGGTGACAGTGCAAAACTTTGATCCCTACAGTTTGACGAGGTTTCTATTTTATTATTATCTTATGTTAATGGTGGAAAGGTGAAGTGTCAACGAACACAACTCCGTGCTGTTGGGGTTTTATTTTATTATATTTTTTTTTTACATTGACAAAAGTGAGAATGATATTTGCGTGAACGACAAAATGGTTAGCACTAGTTCGCCCAGTGGGGCGAGCATCTACGATAGAAAAAGAAATCATTTTCGTGGAATATCCAAAGCAGAAATTGAAAGAAGAACTAATATTCTTTTACAAGCAATGACGGTGAGTTTATTTGGTAGAAGAATTTATGTATATACCAAGTGTCTCATTTGAAACCACATGTAAATCAGATCATCTTGGGTTTTTATAAACAAATATTTCAAATAAAAGTTGGTCATAAAAAAGTTGCTTTAGTGAAGGAATATTTATTCCTGCTATTTCATGAAAAATGTTCTTGTTAAGATATGAGAATCATTATGATTTTATGATTTTTGTGTTAGGGTTAAAATATCAATTTCCATTTTTATGAATTTTTATGACTATCGTATTATGACAACTAAACATTTATGAAATAGCTGTAATAAATATTACATTGTTTTCTCTCAAAATATTTGTTTATAAAACAAGTAAGATCGAAGATAGTTAATCGTATCGTTTAAAAAAAGATATTTAATGTATGTATATATATACATAGAACATATATATGCATGATGTTTCTATTTATAATAACTTGCAATGGTGAAATATGTTTTGAGATATTAAATCAATCAAAACAAATTGTTTCCAAATATTATATGTTAAGAAATAGGTAGTATATCGTAGGTAGGAAAATTATTTTCTTTTTCAGATTAAGCGATGGTGAAAATTTTACATTTAATTTCATTATTTTTAGGTAGAAACACATTTATATTTTTTTGTCGCTACATTAAAGTTTTCTTTGTTCTAAGTGTTTTCTTTTGATCGATATTCTAATGATCGTGCTTTCTTCGAATTATGTTTATTTTACTTTTGACCGCGTAAATTTCATGTATCTATCAAACGTTTTATTCTAATCAATGTCTATTGCATGCTATTTCTATAAGAAAAAATTATGAAATATAAATATATTATTATCATCGTTGTGTGTGGTTTCTATTTGATAAAATATTACTAAATTCATACATTTCTAATAGATATTAGTGTAACGTTAGTGTAAATATTATTAGATAATATTTGAATTATCTGGAAGTATATATTACGAGAGATAATTATGTCATTATATTAGAATTATTTTATAAAGATTTAAATGAATTATTAGAAATAAGAAAATAAAATACGTAATAGATATGATACTGAATATTATTTAGATCGATGATGTATATTTCACAGATCGAGGAACTTTACACTGCCCTCGTGTATATGACACAACATCAAATCGGATATGATGTTACTAACGAGTGCGCACAAGAAGCTTTGTTAAATCATTTGCAAAATGCATTCAAAATCGACAATGAAACTCATGAAAGAATTATTGAAGAAACCCAAAACATGGAGGTTGTTTTTTTATCTATAAATTGGTTCAATTACACAATTCGATATTAAAGAATATAATTTATATTTTTTTAATTAGCCTCCAGAAATGCGTCTTAGTGTAGAAGTGATCGAAGCTAAGGAATTGGTATCCAAAGATGCTAATGGAAAAAGTGATCCCTTTTGTGCTCTTTATCTCGAATCGGCTCCTACTAGAAGATACAATACTGCTGTAAAAACGTTCACGCTTAGTCCAGTATGGGAAGAACATTTTGAATTGTGAGTTCTTTCGTGATTATTTTTCTTTATGGGATTATTAGGTGTTTGAATATAATTCTCTGGTCACAACGGATAAAATATTAGAAATTAAAATTATTAATATTTTAGAGAAAGGCATATAGAAATTATAATATTTAAAGTACAATACAGTAGACTTCGATAAAACGCGATAATTGTGTTAAGCGTTCCTTTATTCCAACGATTTCTTTTTTTACTTTTTTCTCAAGATAATTTACAATTTAATTCATGAGATAATATGTATATATTAAATATAAATATTAAGACGATTGTTCTTTTTTGCAAAATATATTTATTGTTAATAACATAGTGATAAAAAATAGAACAATTACGAAACGAAAGAAATCGATAGCAATGAAGACAATTAAGTAAGTAATGCTCAATTAAAACAAATTTAATTTTTACATTGCCTTTTATTATTTAAATTCTTGCATTTTATACTTTATTAATAATTACGCAATACCTGGAATCGTGTTATACAAACATAGTAGTTGTAAAATATTTGGTGAGTTATACAAATTTATGGTGCAAACAATTCGCGTTTTACGGGAGTTTACTGTATAAGATCGAATAAGAAATTTTTGATATGAAAATTGACAACACATGTTTTGCCTATTGGACTAACCAAAAATAGGTATACCAGTAATATAAAATATATTAACGTACCGTTTTTTGTTTTGTCAAAATTTGATTTATTTATTTATCCGCTTACCAATGAATTATGTATTATATTCTGTACTCGGTTAATAATATTGCTTTCATCTGTTAGTACGAAATTTTTTCTATTCTTTCAGTAGGCAACACATTTGTACATTTGTGTAAAGAACCCTGTCGTTGCCTATTGCAAGTAACACCATGAATTAAGCATGGAATATTGTTACCATTAATGGGCACGATAATAAATATTGAAATAAATAATTATATATAATATTAATAACTAAATAAATTAATATTACATTTTTGAATTGTTCATAATTATAAAAAAATGAATATTAAATAATTAAATGTTATGTTTTATAGACCTTTAGATGATCCAGAAAACGATGTTCTATCTCTGGAAGTTTGGTAAATATTTTTCAAGATTTAATTTACTAATGAAATATATATATATATTTTATCTTTATATGTTTTTTTGTTTCTTTTCTAATAGGGATTTCGATGCAGCTGAAACTGTTCCTGAGAAAATAAGTAAAGTTAAAGATATTAAAGGTGTTCGTGGTCTGGTTAAACTTGCTAAGGAAATTGCTGTAACAGCCACAACTGGTAGTCATGATAACGAATTTATTGGACGTTGTCGAATACCTTTGAAGGTATTATTTATTTTAAATTTAATATTATAATTATCAGCACACAAGTTTTTTGATGTTATATTATTTTTAATATATATATATATATTGTATAATACAATAACGAAGCAATAGACAAAAAAGAATGGGAATGAAAATAATTCTTCATTGAACGAAGATATTAATAATAAGTACTCATGAAAAATTTATTGAACGATCAATAGGAGTGGTATTGTATTATAATAGATCATGTCAAATATTCTATTTGTTCACGTGACTGTTTTATATGACTTTAATAGATTTACATTGTTGTGAACATCTGGTTACATTATCTACCGACGTAGTACTATTATCTCATTGTAGATAATTCACATTTCTTCAGTTAATGATTATCATTATAATAGTCCATTCTTTGAATATATGCCTATACTCGTTATTTTAATATTTATTTTTATATAAATCAATTTTGTATTTAGGATATTCCAACGACTGGACATACGATGTGGTATGTTCTGGAGAAAAAAAATAAGACTAAACGACGAGGAGTTGTTAAATTAAAATTGGCCTTTAGCACGGAACATAATGCACAGGTTGCTGCTCAAGAACACAGACATTTACTTAGAGTTTTGTTGTTATACGAACTTGAAACCGAAAAAGTTGAAAAATATTGTTGGTGTGGTCGATGGTCTGGTCCTGCAGAAGCTTTGATTCTCCAACATAGTGCACAACGTGGTCTCTTGGATAGAAATATTGATCTGGCACAATGGATCGAATATGCTAGGATTCATCAAGAACATCCACTTAATTTTATGGTTTTTAATAAAATAATAGTGGATTTATTAAGACCTATGGATAATGGATTATTTTCTACAGACGAAACCAAATTATTTTGGGATGCGACTAGGAAAATACTTTATTCTTGTTTAAACAGTATAAGGAAAATAAGAAGATTAGTTCTAGGAGATAAGAATGCCATGACACAGTTATCGGCTATTTTAGGGTACATTTTTTTTGTAATCTATAAATATTAAAACACATTTTCAAAAATAATACATAATAATTATATTAATCTAATTAATTTTGTAGGATATTATCGTCCATTTCCACTCTTAAAATTCCGGAAGATTTTGATCTATTTCCTGCGAAGATGTATTCTTGGTTTCCAGAACCAGACGGTACAAAATTGGATGTTTTTCAAGGCTTAGAAAATACAGTTATACAAGGTTGTGCTGAATGGTGGGTATTTTGCTTTTATATAAATTATATATATTACGTCCTATGGTTTATAATAAAATGTTCGGTCTGTTTTTGGCTAAGCCGTGAGATCTTTACCAGGGAATGATCTAAAGAAATGTGAGTACGATGGTGAGTGATGAGGCAGGATATATAGTTGAACAGGTTAGGGAGAGTAATTTGAGTATTAAATTGTTCTGACTTTTAACACACGAAGGACAATGAATTAGAATAATGAATTTTGTCAATTACATTTCTCACCGATGTGGTGGTATTTCAATTAGAGTTCGTATTAATGATAGATGAATAATATTCAATAAATTTCAATGAATGTGTGTGTGGTAGTGGAAACAGTATTTCACTTGAGCTATATGCTCAATGGTTTACTTTTACTTATTAATTTATAATCATTCATCAAATTCACGTACACGATTGAATAGAAATATTAACGCTTACAAGGCTGATTGGTTTAAGGATTTTACAAAGAGAAAGGATTTTCGGGGATAAGATCTGAATGACACACGATTCAAAGAATTTAAATGAAATGCGTTTGTTAAGAGTAGAAATGAAAGTTTTTCACATAGTATATGTTTATAGAAATATTAGAGGTTCATATAGGCACCAGAGATTTGGAAAATTTGCAAGTGTTTATAGGAAAAGGATAACAGAAAGATAAAGATTTGATAAAGATCATAAAATAGGCTTTGGGTTCTAACATCAGTATCCCTCATGTTGCACAAATCTAATCTTAAACAATGAAAATGTTAAGCGTAGCAAAAATATAGAAAAGAAAAACGTTCGCAGGACGTAACATATATACATACTTTTTCTACTATGATTTATATTTATTTATGATATTATATATTGTTATGTTAAAAGGTATGAACACATCAAAAGTAATACTACTCCTGAGACTGATTCGGACGAAGATGTACTCAGATTCCAAATTAAAATAATTCAATTAATCAGAGCAGATTTACAACGATCTATAGATCATTACGACAAATTGTTCATCAAGTAAGATATATATATAAGGTATATCATAATTAATGGAATTTATTTGACGTGTTATATGTAACAATTTTTCTTCTAGAAAAATGAATTTCCCTTATACAAGAACATTGTATGTTATGTACGAAGAAAAAATAAGTGATATGTGCATGGATGTTGTGGAAGATTTGTGTGTAAGATTGAAACGTATAGAAGTTGATAGTAACAATGATGCTGAACTAAATCTTGGTACAACTTTATTCGAACTTTATCTCACGTTACAACGATATGCTGTGTAAGTTATTAAAATAATGAATTAATATAATGATTATGAAATTATTATTAATTTATATCAAATATTATATTACCATTAATAATTATTTTAATAAGTCAGTTTTTTCTAACAAACAATTGTTTTATATAGATTTGGTCAAATGGTCTGTGCAGAAGGACAATTAGAATCTATGAAAATCCAAAATTATCACGATTGGTTTAGAGGTGGTGTGGCACATTGGTTGGATATTGCAGTGTATAAAGCTTTGAAACGAATTGATAGAGCTGTCGAATTTGATACGTTACAGGCTGTTGATAATACTGTGCAATATACATCCAGTGCAGTTGATACCTTAACAATTTTTTATCAAATTAAAGTTTTTTGGACACAATTGGCATGGCCCGATGTTGAAGGATCTTATACATTTATAGCTAAAATTATAGACGTGCGTTATTATTATTATTATTTGTAAATTTTATTATAAATAATTTGTAATATTTGTTATCATAATAAGATGAGTATAAATATTGCGTTACAGGATATTTGTAAGTGTTCCATTGCATATGCTGATAAGATGGCTACAAAAGCAGAAACTACGACAGATTTAGAACAGCTCAATGAAAGTAGTGTCTATGAGAGAAAATTTGTAGTATCTAATGCCTGGTGTTTTGCTATTAATAATATTGATTATATCAGAACATCGATTGGACCATTGGCGAATGATTTGGGTCTTCAAGCTATCGTCGATGCTTTAAAAGAAAATAAAACAGAAGAAGAAGCCGATCGTTGTAAACAAACTCTTGAATTGATAATCGCTAATGCAGCAGATACCGTTAGGAATAAAATTATTGAATTATTAGAATTTGTAGCTCACAAAATGGCTCCTGCTATGAGTAGGTAAGTAATATTGTTTTTTATGTTTATAAAAGAAGATATAATACATGTAAGAAAAATTTACAAAATATTTGATCATGCAATTGCAGGTATCTCATGGAAGGTGCTGAATTAATAGATACAACTAGTAATGCTATGGATCGACTTTTGCAATATCTTGATTCTAATTTAACAACATTACACGACAATCTTAGTCAGGATAATTTTGAAAGAGTTCTTCTAGTTATTTGGGAGATTATGTCTGAAACACTTTATCAATTAGTTGATAGTAATTTAGAAGTAAGAAACGTATTTTTTTTTTAATTCACTTACTTAAGTGTGAATGTAAATATCTATAAATTTTATTTATTATTTCTAAAATATTATTTACAGAAAAGAAGACCACCTTCTTTCTACTCTAATTTACACCGGACACTTCATACGCTCATTAAATTTTTCAATCTCGGTGCAGACGAAACGTCGAACGTACAGGTTTTAGAGAAGATTGAAGAACTTTTGAAACTTCACGGTTTGGAAACAGCTGAGCTTATTCATCGTTATAATCAAGATCGATTGAACGAACAGAAAGAGATAGAAGAAACTATTTATGGCCTCCTCACTGTAAAAGCCTCCTTCTTGAACAATTCATTGAACATTCAAATTCTCAATGCCAGAAATCTACGACCGATGGATAGTAATGGTGAATAAAAAATAATATTTATTTATAAAAACGCGTAATAGAAAATTATATAGGATTTACATATATACCGTGAAAAAGGATTATAAATGTAGAAAATAAAATCGTTAGTTAATAGAAAATGCATGTGCAATATCAACAGTACGAGAATGAAAAATATTAATGAACAATACGAATTAGACGATTGAAATATTCGATTAAGAATAATATTTTCCAATGAATTATATTTCTAATGCAATTGGATAATTGGTAAAACGAGGTGTAGACATAGAATGATATGTTTTTCGATTTTATAGGAGATTTTATAGGCAAGCTGTCTACTCTCGAGCGCAAACTGCACTCTAAATCTAAACAAAGACTGAAAGAAGGGAAGAAAAGTATGTAAATAAAAGTGGACGTAGTCAAATTTTATTTCATCTCTGTTACATAACTCGTACTGGTCGATTGCCTGCCTAAGTGAGATTAGATTTTGAAAATGCATGGCACGGATATTATTTCCGAGTAGAAATGTTAGATATTTTTAAACGACACAATGTTATTCCTAGCTCGAATAATTGGATAAACTGGCACGGATACAAAGAAAATCGACAGATTTGTTCATTATCTAGATTCTTATTAAATATCTGTGAATACATTGGACTTGTAATTTTAAATTATTTAATTATATTAATTATAAATAGAGTCTCGTTGATGAACTGTCGATTGTTTCCAACAATCACCTTCACCGTGCATGTTTCGTTCCACATTGGGGTTTTTAAAATATCACTCAAGTAATTATTAATTAAATGTGTTCATTTTTTCTTTTTTACAGGCAAATGTGATTCTTATGTTAAAATAAGATTGTTGCCGGAAAACAAATTTATCGACAACAAGACACCAAAGACACACGTACAAAAAGAAACTTTGTTCCCTCTTTTCGATGAAACTTTTAACATGTAAGATTATGATCTATTTATGTTAAGTTTAAACGTTACTTCATTTTATATTATTTGGATGCATTTTAAAAATATTTCAGTCCTCTTACCGAAGAACAGAGAGCTATAGAGGATGCTATAGTAGCCTTTGAAGTTAAAGACAAGGATTTCTTACGAACTAGATTTATGGCTGAAGCCTTTCTAGCATTCCGTGAAATTCCAGAAATGGGACCAGATAAAGGAATGGAATCAATGGAACAAATTCATTTAAAACTTTCACGGCCAGGCAATAAACGTATGAATTAGAAATTAGTTTTATTCAAATAATAAAATTTGTCTATGTGTTGATTTTAAAAATTGTTCAAATATTGCTGAATGTTATAACTTGTTTCTTTTAAGGTACGGACGTAATTCGGGCCTTAGAACATAGAAAAGGAGACAACCAAGCAATGGATTTCATATCTAAAATACATAATAAATCTAATGCAAAATAGTAGGAAAACCTATAAACATAAAAAGTCATATCGAACAACGTCCATAAGTGTAGCTATTATCACTCATTGCCTTATACCATTGTTATTTTTAATAAATTTTACTATTTAAAAAAAAGAAAAAAAAAAGAAAAAAAAATATTTCTCATAAGTGTAAATATAATATTTAAATTTGACACAATTGATATTTAATTTGAAAAAAATCATTTTAGACTGTTTATGTGTAACATTTCTATACTTTCCCAGAATATTTAAAAGTTATCGCATTTCATAACGTTAAGGAACTTAAAAGGCTGAATAAGTCTTACACATATTCAGTACGTGTATTTCTATACATATGCGAACGTCTAGTTTAACCCTTTGAGTGCTGAATACTCTTGACTGAAGCACTTCATAGGAACGAAATAATTTATAGTTAATGTGAGTTTCGTTGATTAAATATACTAAGAAAAATTAACAATAAATTATAATTGTTTTTCTTTCAAAAGTGAAATCACAAGAAAATTTATTTCGATCATAATATTTTGGTGTGACAAAAACTCGAAACAATTATTAATACACAAACCAATATTGCATCCTTGTATTTAAATCTACAAACGCATATATACGCTTATAGTCCACATTGATAACTTTAATCAAATTCATATATGTGTCTACAGGACTCAAAGGGTTAATAAGATGATATTTATAAAATATTGTTTGATAAGATAATACTGATGTGGCAAAAATAATTTTACATCGAATACATGTACATAGATAAAGATGTGTTAAGTCATTTAATGTAAATACGTATAGCAGCATTGTTATTATAACTGGTAATTGATATTTTTATAATCTACTTATATAAAAAGAGATTTTCAATAATTTCAATTATATTATTGTATTTTTCAATTATATTATTGCAGAAGTATGCAATGAGGATAAAAAAGAAAGAAAAATTAAATCAAAGAATACAATTTAGATCAAACGAATTAAATAGAGTGTTTTACTGCCTTGTAAATAATATACAATACTTTTATTTCTAATAAACTTTAAATAATTTCTTTCCCTCTATCCCAATGTTGCAATTTTGATGCATATAATTATTCAAACAAAATACATCCACAAATAAAGTTTCATTTTTGAATGATGAAGATTTAAATAAAAAGAGTTTTTAAAACGAGAAGATTTTTTAGTAGATTTGTCTTCTTGATCATTTATTTATAATATAAAAATATCGATATATCAAAATTAATCGCGTTTAGATACAGTACGAAACAATTCCTATATTATTATTATTAATTAATTCTTGTTTTTAGCAATACTAACGCGAGCAAAATACAGAGAAAAAAAGTGCATTAATTAATTGCGTAGTTTATTAAATGAATTTTATCGATGAGACAAGAAGATTCTATCCTGAATTAATAAAATAAACAATACAATACAATACACAATTTTCATGAGTAACTTTCCTAAAAGGAATTACCCATGGGGTCGTCAATAATTTTTTGGAATAATTACAACCAGTAGCTCGTGCAAATTAGGACTTTTCATCCTCAACATGACTGAGCACCGAGGGGACTTTAAATTTTTGACTCATTACTTAAGAAGTTCTATGATGGCTCCAAAACACTCCTACTTCGTAGCAAGTATAGCAGTCTAACGATCCATCGAAAATTCATCGAAGATCCATCGAAGATCCATCGAAGATCCATCGAAGAATTCATACCACATCTTTGATAAGGTAGAAAGTCCGTTGTCATATCTGTAAAATAAAATAGAACAAAATGATGAGTTATATGTAATATGATCCAAAATCATATCAAACAAAAACAAATAAAATGTTAATAAAAATGAATACTTACAATGCATTCCAATGGGATGCAGCTCAATGGCATTATGATAATGCATCTCGCGTGAATCTAATGACGCGGTATAAACGAAAATAAGAAACTATAGATGAGTTTCTTATCGCGAAACCGAAATTAAATTATACGGCGAACAACACTGATTTTAATTCGCGTTTGATTTTAACTTATTACTCGCCCGATCATTGACTCTACAACTAATTCAAAGACTGCTTTGCACACAGTCTATTGAAACAAACAAATTTCACACTTTATTTTAATCCCGAAACGCGTTAAATTTTTTAAATCTTCATTGATGCACTGACTCTAATACGCGAACAGTCTGTGCGACTGTTTAAAGGTAAAAATACAACTTTACTCGAACAAACTCTAATGCAATTACACACTGCATTGGTCGCAGTTAATTTAATATATAAATTTCAAAAATAGTTCGCGAACGCGACGGAATTGAAATTAACGAACGAACGTGCTTCTAATCCGTGATTTTAATTATATTTAAACGATCGAACACTCCCGTATATTGCTTCGCGCACGATTGCAATGCACGAACACTTGAAACACTTCACAAACACAATTAACACAACACTTCCAACACTGCAATATTCCCATGATGTAGTCCAGGCAAATTAGTCATATTTTGGCATGAATCTCGGAATGAGAAGATAGTCGGCTACAAACTTTTATAAACCGTATATTTCAACACCCTAAAACTTGTCTCAAAACCTACTTATCGTAGGGTGTCTGCGACTACAGATATTCCAAGGTCAAAGGTCAAAAAATCGATTTTTTACACATTTATTGCAAATATCTCGTTTCCTATGAGTTTTATGCTATTTGTATTTATTATAAATATTGTACTAATATTATATTATATTTATTATTGTATTTTTTAGACGGAAGCAGACACTTCTATCGATTATTTAACAATTATTATAATATTGGACTAATGATCTGAAATAGAAATAAAAACAAAATTATGAATATCATTGTTGTAAGAAAAAAGTATTATAATTATTAAGAAAGTGTTTAAAATAAAAATTGACTTACGTTTATTCTTCAGTGATGAATGCACGATGGATATCCTATCCTTAAGATGACGATGAGCACACGTTTAAACCGAATAACGGAGTTTCTTTACCCGAAAAAACGAAACTTTTATATACGGCATACAACACTGACTTTACTTTCCGATACTTTTGTATTTTATTTTAACGATACAACACACGAGTACCTTATTGCCTACGCGCTCGATCGCAATGATATTCTGAAACAAAAAAAGAAAAAGGAACAATTAATGTCATCGTCGTAATAAAAAACCATTGAAGTTATTATATAAATTTTTGATAGAAAAATATATTTACTTTTAATCTTCATTGATGACTGCAGGATGGGTTTCCTACCCTTAGGATGATGATGAATAAAATAAAATAAAATAAAAAATCTGCATAGCTTAAACATACTAAAGATTATATTACAATATTCCTTATGAATCATTTCTGAAAGCAGGTCACACATTAAAAGATATTATATCATAAAAATGTCAGTAAAAATATTCATTAAAAATCTTTAAAGTTTTCCAAATAAAACAAAACTTTTATCAACAAACTCAATAAAGAATAACTTAAACAATAAACCGTCTGTTATACTGTTCTATGTAATGAAAAACTCTAGAAAGTATTTAAATGAATGCAAAAATGTTATAAATGAAATTATTCAATAGTTTAACGCGTTGTCACTGTTACTGATCTTAACTTGTCGAAGGACGGAAGAGGAATGAGCATTTCTCTCTCTCTGTTTATCTTTGAGAGTAACGAATTTCGACTGCTTTTGTTTTTATCTCATTGTTAACTCGAGCAGTGCTTAAAAACACAGAGATGTATTAATACGTGTTTATATGCCGAGTGTTTTGTTTTTCTATTCTCTTTCTTTCTTTTTCTCCTTCTTCACCCTTTTTCACATTCTTGCTTTTTTTCTTGCACTCTTTCTTTCTATTACACTTCTTTACTAGTTATAAAAAAAAGAGATAGACTTAACTTGACAAATATAAATGAGATAAAAAAGTGAACATACCAATAAGGTTAGGTATGCGTATTCGTTTTGGATTCTCCAATAACTTAGAAAAAATACAAAATAAGATGATATTAGTTTAATACAAAGAAAATCAAATATATTAAGTGTATGTGTACGAGTTACTTATACGTATGTATATATGCCTGTATATGTGTGTACGTGATAAAAATCGAATTTAATACGAAATACAATCTTTGATGATATAATTATGAAAAATAATTTATTAAAATAGAGCATTAGAGACGATAGTAATCGATACCGTGAAAATAAGCTGGAAAATTGACAAAAATATTGTTAAGTAACATTGGTGAGATTTGATGTGACGCCAAGATACAATTTCACGGATATCTTTCGAATTTTTCAATATTTTGTTTTGAAAACACTCACGTATAAAAATCTTATTTGTTGCTATCGTTTGATATATAATAGGAAGGTGTACGTTAGAAATATCTTTTAATTACCTGAAATAAACGGGACCACAAGACTTTCGTGCGATTTCTTGCACCGACGTCGTAAAAATGAACGCTGATTGGCTGAGCGATTTTGTATTTTGAACGTTACTATATAAAAATCTATATAATTTAATAAATAAAAAAGCATGATAAATAAGATAATAATCACTTGTGTAAAGTGATATATCTTATAATATTAAATAACATGAATTAAAGAAAGTCATTAGAAAAGTATTGTTAATCGATTCTTACTTACAAATTCAAATTATTCCTAACGTTTTATACATTCACACAAGCTTGTCGTCACATGCACGTAACCCGTCTTTCTTCATGACCACGTTAGTCAAGCTTGATATTATAATTTATATATTAAATAAATCTAAAACTAATTTTATTTTTCTATTTAAGGTACACGTATCTTGTTAATATTTAAAAAATAACGAATAGAATAAAGACAATATACACTAAAAGCTTTATCATATCGCATAGAAAAACAGGATCGTATAGAAAAGAAACAACGTAGCAGATATTTTAAAAAAAATGGACATCCCTCATGCCAACTATGAAAGTATAAATTCCCATATCCTGTATCGATATGGAAAAATTCGTGTTATTGATCTGCTTTATCGATTAAGTAAGTCATGATATTTTAATTCTTACTGATCCAGTAAGTCATGATATTTTAATTCTTTAAGGATGGCTACAGTGCTTTTTGACAATTAATTTAAAAATATCTGCAACGAAGTTTCTTTTCTATACAATTGTGGCTACGAAACACAAAAAGAATAATATGAAATTGTTATCTTATGAACCTTTCTTAAACAATTGCATGAAAATGATAAAAATGCTTAAATCAGAACGTTAAAATCTTAAATTTTATTGATTTGGTGGATTATTCCTTTTATACACATGCGTAACGTTCGGAAAGTCGTATATACAACTTTTAATAAAAGAATTTTCATAGAAGAGAAACTGCCAGTCTCAAGGTGGATTTCGAAGAGGACGGTACACAGATCCTATACACAGAGCTTTTAGACAGCAGCTGACACTTCTATCGATTATTTAACAATTATTATAATACTCTAATACACTCTTTTTATATTTCAGCTTGTTTTAACACATATGTACTGGTTTAAGTATTACATTACCTAATAACGTATTTTAAATAGAAAATAATGTTGATTTATCTTTCTTTTATGTTTTTAGATGACTTTTTTAAACTTAATTTCGTTACTAAGCCAATATATAAACATAAAATTTAGAGATAACATTCATTGTTTTAAATCAGTTTTTTGTAAGACTTCGACGAAAACGTATTACTTGCGATTAGATGAAACTCCAAGGATGGGGGCTAAGAGTTAGGTTTTTTAAAAAACGTTCTCGGTTAAATAATTTTACCTTGGAACTCACCACTGCACAGGAGCGGTTAAACAATTACATAAAAATGATAAAAATGCTGAAATCGTAACG